GTTGTAAATTCATACAGAAAATCATTATTTCAAGTTGTTGCGGCTAAAGGTTGTTTCACAAGCTACAAGGTATACTTAGTTTATCATGACTGCATGGAGTCCTGTAAGAAATATTGTCTTTAGAATTACGGTACACATCTACAACATAAATAAAAAAATATGAAAAATGAAGGCAAAAGGTGAACTGCTATATCCTACAGGCTGCAACAAACATATACTGGACAGTATCCACCATAGTTATACACATGTCCAAACTTGTAATATATCAAAACTAGTGAATGGAAAGACAAAAATAAAAGCTATTAAATTTTGCGGTTTAATTACTAGGTCTTAAACTGCATCTTTCAGGCCTTTCATAAATTGTGCCTGTCAAAATCTTAATTTAAAATCTAACTAGCCAATTAGGGCTGTCAGGTGTATGTAGTGATTTAAAAAGAATCAATTTTCTCTGAACAAAGTATCAAAAATTTAAAATACTGATGTAAAATTAATGGATAGACAAAATAGGATGCAACATCAATTTTAGTTGGGGAACTCTAGCTCCAGAGTACACACTGAAAAAAAAAATTTCATTGCAACGTCGTCACGGCAACTAAAAAAGTAAAAAATATATTCCTGACAGTGAACACACATACATTGTGCATGTGGAAAAAAGTTTACAGAGAAATATTTAACAGGATAGGAATGTTTATCAGTCAAGAGAGCGATGATGATCTGTGATCTGAATCTAATCTAGTGCTAACTATTCTACTGAAGGCAATTTCTTTATTTGTTATCACATGTTTGTTCCTTCAGAAAAACTGCTGCACAAGGAAGGGTTTAGTAAAAGTTTCTCACCGAGGTGATCTCATTGGGTTGGGCTCCATGTTTCAGCAAGAGTGTGACAATATCTGTGTGGCCCTGCTGGGCTGCCTGGTGCAGAGGGGTGTAGCCCATCTGCAGCAAAAAAGAAAGTGATAAAAAAGTTTTGACGGACAAAAGAAGAAACTAAATATGATTAAAAAAAGGGGGGTGCTGACAAGGAATTTTACCCTTGTCTTGGCGTTCACATGAGCTTGCTGCTGCAGAAGGAACTTCACCATCTTGATGTTGCCATAATGACAGGCCACGTGAAGGGGTGTGTAGCCCATCTGAGCCAAAGAGAGAAAGACAGCAAGCTGTTGTTTAGTTGCTTTAGTGATACCCATTAATTATCAGTCTAAATATCGGGCAAATATGTGCTTAGTCATTTGGCGCACAAGACTGTATAAAGACAAAAGATGCCATCTCTTCAGTTCATCACACATGGTATTTTATGACTATGTGTATTCAGTGAAAATGATGTAGCTTACACGTGAAGCAGCATAAACAGATGCCCCCTGTTTGACCAAAGTGTCTGCGATGCCCACATGACCCTCCTGGGCCACAAGATGCAGAGGAGTCAGTCCATTCTACAAAGAACGACCAGAGGGATGAGCATCATAGTTTATCTATTGTTTGGACAGTATATTAATCTAATAATAATTTTTAAAAAAGCATAAAACTACAGGAATTAAACTTTACTCTTTAGAACATGATCAGTTTGCTCCATTCTAATATTATACCTTGTTTCCAAGATTTACGTTGGCCTGTTTGGAAATGAGCAGAGCCACCATGTCAGGCCGTCCCTCCTGTGAAGCCAGGTGTAGGGGCGTGATGCCTTGGAGGGACTCAGAATTGGGTGATGCCCCATTCTGAAGAAGACAGCTGGCCACCTCCATCTGGTTCTGCTTGGCTGCTATGTGAAGGGGAGTGTATCCATTCTGCAGAAAGAAACAAGGACAAACAGACATAAAAAAGTGGACATTGCTATTCTTCCGGCATAAAACTTAAACGCTGCTGTGAGAGAGCACTTGCAAATACTAAGTTTGCTTTGCAAGTCAATGTATGCTTGAGAATCACTCTAATTTAGCCTGTTTTGTATGTTTGTCAGTCATGGATTGGCAGGTTATGCTGGCCTGCCTCTAATGTGCACACACATATGTGTGAACATCTTACTCGGGCAGTGCTGTGTGCAGATCCTCCCTTGCTGACCAGGAGTCTAACAACATCCAGGTTGTTGTGATGGACGGCCACATGAAGGGGTGTCAGACCGTTCTGTTAACCACAAACACACACAAACACACACACACACACACATACGCATGAACATATATATAACCCACAGATGCACACACATATGCAAAAAAAACACACAGAAACATGTATATATGAAACACATACCATGGTAATCAATCAATTAGCTGAAAGCAAAATTATCTCGGGGTGGGGTCAAACTTGCAGAATGAACTGCTCCTCACTGCCTGTAAACAAAAGTACAGACTCAGGCTCACCTTCCCAGCTGCATTTGGGTTTGCTCCTCTTTCCAGAAGGAGTTCAGCCACATCTACCTTTCCATATTTGGAGGCCACATGGAGGGGAGTGAAACCTTTCTACTCAAATGAAGAAGAAGAAGAAAAGACTAAGATGTTTGCCAAAGATTCAGTTGCATCTGTACACCACAATGTTTCTGAATATGGGGTTTTACTATATGTAACTATTTGTGGTTATCTGTGCTTATATTTAGCTGATAAAATTATTTTAATTTAGCATAAGACAGAACAGAATCTAAAAGCTCAAATAACCTCAACGGTCATCTTTTGCCAGAAGCGGTTCACTTAGCAATAAAACGCGGTCTGCACTAACTGAGCATTTAATCTTAATTCTGATTTTACCTTTGTCATCTTTATTTGCTCCGCTCCAGCATCCAATAATATTCGAATAGTCTGGACATGTCCTTCACGTGCTGCAATGTGTAAAGGTGTGTGACCTGCAGTTGTAGCTGAGTCAGGGCTGGCCTTGTGCTCAAGGAGCAGCTTGACAAGCTCCTTGTGGCCCATACGGGCTGCACAGTGTAAAGGTGTCTGGTCATCCTGGACACAGAGGACAATGAGTTTAGTTCAAATTGGAAAACAGATACAGCTGAGCATCGGGAAATTAAACATCACCCCTAATAAAACCTGCCACTGTGTACATGAAACAGCCTTTATGCATTGTTTGAGACAACTTAAAAAGATCAGTGATTGACATGTAGGATAGGGTGAACAAATGTGTCTTCAACTTAGTTTTTAAAACCTCCACGGAGCATGCCTGCCTAATATCTTGAGGGAGGTTGTTCCACAGAAACGGGGCACGGAAAGAAAAAGCACGCTCTCCAATTGTCTTTTTTCTGGCTCTAGGAACCTTTAGAAGGCCAGAGCCCTGAGATCGGAGAGCACGGGATGGAACGTAAAGGTGTAAAAGGTCGGAGAGGTATGAAGATGCCAATCTGTTTAAAGCCTTGTAGGTGAGCAGCAGGACCTTAAAATCTGCTCGAACCTGACAAGGTAGCCAATGAAGAGATCTCAGTACAGGGGTAATGTGCTCAACTTTCCCAGTTCTTGTTAAAATGCGAGCAGCTGCATTTTGCACCATCTGTAGACCTCTAAAACTTTTCTTTGGTAGCCCAGAAAGAAGAGCATTACAATAATCAATACGTGAAGACACAAATGCATGGACAAGAACCTCTGCAGTGTCGCTTGACAAAACTTGTCTGACTGTCTGGCGATGTTCCTCAAATGATAAAAGGCGGTCTTTGCACCCAGAGGAGCTTGTAGAAATATTTGTTTTGTGTTTTGTTGTTTTGTTTTGTTTTTTGGTGGCATGGACAGACTGACCCTCCGTGTTCTGCTTGGAAGCATTGGTAGTACTACTAGTACTACTACTCAGCTCATACCTTAGCCTTGGCATCCACTTGTGCTGAGTTCTGGAGCAGGAACTGAGCAACTTCACAGTGTCCTGCTCTGGAGGCCATATGAAGAGGAGTCTCCACTTTCTAATGTAGATAAATACAGGTAGTGAAATGACAAAATAGCACCCCAAATGTGTATATAATGGTCCATATGTATACTGACATTTTCAGTTCATCCATCTGCAACAACTGAACAATAAAAGGTTTCTATATTTATTTATTTTGAGTTTTAAAACTTTCTGATAAAGTTCAAACACACATATTTTTTTAAAATTTAGAGTAAATCTTGTTTTAATCCTCTATCGTAGTATTAAAGGCCATGGTTCAGATTGGCCTTTTAATTTCAGTAATCCAGCAGTTAATTATTATTTAATATGCATTCCACAAAACAGATCTCCAAAGGAGTGACTTTATTCCCCTTTCAGTCAGATTCAATTTGTTCTGTTCTGGGATGAGAAAAGCAGTGCTCACCACATTGGAAGCATTGGGTGAAGCCCCTCTTTGGAGCAGGTTTTTCACTATGTTCAGATGCCCCATGAAAGCTGCTACATGAAGAGGAGTGAGACCAGACTGTGAACAAAAAACAGACAAGAAAAGCACATCAAAACTCATGCATTATAAATAGGCTAAATTACATTTAACCTCATTAGCCACCTCTGTCTGGCCTATGTGGATTACTATCAATGATGGTGGCAGCGATTTAGAGAGCTGTGATTAGCTCTGTCAAGTACCATACAACTGTCAGAGTGAGGACTTGCACATCGGGATAAGTATTTGTTAATTTTTAGACCCTTTTCCTCGTGGTCACACCATCCTACCTCTGTGACAGCCTCCAAGGAAGCAGAGTGCTTAAGCAGCAGGTCCATAGACCGCATGTGGTTCTTCTTGCAAGCAATATGCAAAGGTGTGAAGCCATTCTGCAAACATAAAAAAATAGTAAAAAACTGCTCAGAAATCAATCACAGTGCTGAAGATTTTTGACATTTCAGTTTAAAAATGGGTTGTACATTTTCAACTCAAAATTACAGAAAAAGTTAATTTTAAAGGACTTAATATAATGATTTATTTTTTTTTTTACTAATTTAGAAGTTCGCTGAACTGACAATAACTATAACTCATTTAAGGGCAGAAGACAAAGCAATGTGAGCTGAGTTTATGTCAACTTTGAGAAACGGAGAATATCAAATTACTGCTACAGTTAGTTCCTCATTAACATAAGATCCTAGAATGTATGAATGCCATAGAGATCACATTCATTGCCTAAAACTTTCCACAGTAACTTAATAGAAATTATCTCCAATGCAAACGGTTACTCACCAGAGCCCGTGCATTGGCTTTGGCCCCCTTGTCCAGGAGAACTTTGGCCATGCGATGGTGACCGCAGTGGGCTGCTACATGAAGAGGAGTTAAATGGTCGAGTGTGATATCATCAATCTCAGCATTGTACTGGAGTAGCTGCCTGACACAGTCCATGTGATCCCCCTGAGCTGCCATGTGGATGGGGGACAGACCATTCTGTAGGAGAGAACAATACGATAGGGACTCCAGTGATCAACTGTAGGCCATATGGAGGCAGAGCAGGTTGGAGAGTTGACGCTGACTGAGTCATCATGGGATTTTCTCAGTAGCTAAATGTGGAAAAGACCCCACATTAATGAAACATGCAGCCATAGTGATTGCTTCTCCTTCTGTCAGGAATCTCACCCTATTTGTAGTATGCTCATCTGTCACACCAAACTTCTCCTTCACTTCATCCATGAACTTCCGTTCATGGATGAAGTTCTGGAGTGTTCCTCTTGTCATCCTGTCTGGCAGCTCTATATTTAACCAATGTCCATCTTTGTCCAATATATCCACTATACCTCCTCTTCACATGCCCAAATCACCTCAGGCTTGCCTCTCTAACTGTGTCTCCAAACTGTTGAACCTGAGCTGTCACTCTAATAGACAAACTTTTGTTATGGACAATGAAAATCTAAGCATCTTCAACTCTGCCGCCTTCGTATGTGCCTCCTGTCTTTTTGTCACTTACCATTTTCTCCAAACAAACATCATGGCTGGTCTCACAACTTTAAAACCTTCCCTTTCACTCTTGCTGCTATTCCTCTGTCCACCCTGTTTGCACTCTGTTCTTCACCTCTCTTGTTCACTGTCTGTTACTTTGGATGGTTGACTCCAGGTATTAGAACTCATCTAACTTCGCCACCTCTGGTGGTTGCTTCTAATGACTTTCAGTCCTCTTTTCCACAGAGCATACCTCCATAGATCAGCCATAGTGCAATATTTCACAAAATCCACCTACCTTGGTTTTAGCCTGGATGGGAGCACCGTGTTCTAGCAGGATCTCAATAATGCGAACATGACCATTCCTAGCTGCACAGTGGAGAGGAGTCAGCTCATCCTACAAAGAGAGAAGTGAAGCAAATTAGACAAGAAATAAACACCATGAAGTGCATACTAAGAAACTCCAAAATCAGGCTGGGAAATGTAGAAGATGTTAAATTGCAGCTTAGTACCTTAGTTTTGGCATCAATCTGTGCTCCTCTGTCCAGCAATAGTCTGACCATCATTACGTTGCCCCTCCTAGAGGCTATATGAAGGGGTGTGATGCCATTCTAAACAATAGAAAGTTAATAAATCAAGTCAGTTTTATGCTTATAGTATAATTTATATCCCAGCTATATTTATATTAAAAGCTTCTGCATGTAGATATATATATAGAAAAGCAAATCGTTCTGTTTTATAATATTAAACTGACCTTGGGGGTAAAGTTTACATTCGCTCCTCTGTTCAGCAGCAGCTGGGCTACACTCATATTTTCATAGTGAGCTGCAATATGCAGAGGTGTGAAACCAGTCTAAAGAGAAAGAGAGAGACAGACACACAATGGGCATTAACAAGCAATGGTTTAAAAATATTTACTAAATAAGGACAATGTGAAAGGTTTACAGATAAAAGAAGGAAGGAGATTACAGACTTTTCCTTAACCCTGGAGAACCAATGGGGTCAGAGCCGACCCCATTGGTTCTCCAGGGTTAAATGTGTATAATTAATTGAAAGAACTTCCTTATCAGCTGCATTTTTGTGCTCATGCAACATCTTTTCTTTTTGACTGACTTAGTGACAGTTTAGTTTACCCATACTCAGTGAATGCATACCTTGCTAAGAACATCGGGGTTGGGGTCGTTCTGCAGGAGAACTGCAGCAGTGCGCGTGTCATCGTTTCTTGCAGCAATGTGCAGGGCAGGGAGGCGGACCTTGCCCTTGGTGCCATAGTTGATGAGCAGTGCCACTACGTTTTCGTGGCCCTGCTGTAGGGCCACTGCAAGGGGAGTGAAGCCATCCTGAGGGAGGGGACAATGAGCAGAAGAGAAACTGAGAGGAGAGAAGATGAAGAGGAGGTTAATTAAAGGACAAACCACTTTTTTGTCACTAAAAATAGACTGCAACTATTTTTTTGTAGGACTCTTACAATGAAAACTGTGCAACACACCGATTCAAGTATGTACATTGATAGGTGACAGAAAAGGTACGCCAAAACAAAATGGAATGAGAGCAGGCATAATAAAGGGAGAAGGTATGTTAGAGACAATGTGATTTCACATTGTTTGAGCAGTTCCAGAATTACATGTTATATCCTCTTGCCCGACAATTTCTGTTTGTTCTATCAATTATAAACACTTAATATGTTCCTATTTATTTCTTATTGTTAACTGTAATTACATGATCCCGCAATGTTTGTTGACAATTATAGTTTTGTTGTTGTTAATTAAGGAAATAAAGTTTCAGAGACTCAGGTATAGATAAAAATACTTCAAAAAAAATCCTCTGATGTGTTTCCGTTTGGTAAACCCTCTCACATTGGCACAATTGTTGACTACTTTACACATCCTACAGTTTCTTATAGTAAAGACCCATCATCAGTGTGGTTTGTCAGGAAACACCCAACAATAAACAGGCTGTTGAAAGACACATACCTCAGTTGGGAGACTTTGATTGGCACCATTTTCAAGCAGAAATTTGACCACTTCTAAATGGTTCTCCTGTGCTGCCATGTAGAGAGGACTGAACCCTTTCTGTTGGGACATAAATACATTTTGTAGAAAAAACACACAAGACATGGGCATCCACCTATACTGCAAGTGGTGATGTCAGAAAACAAACACACATATGCATACACATGTATACTACTATGCAAAAGTTAGAGCAGTTATGAACAACAATCCAAAGCCTGAGTCATGAATAACTATTTTCATAGAGGCCTAATCCAAACATTATGCAGTTAGCCTTAGATTACATGAATGGACAGAGGACACTGATACAGCTAAAGTTTGGTAACTTGTCCAAAATGCCCCAAACAATCCTGCCTATTAATTATTAACTGCATCCAGCAGAATTGGTTCTGTCTTTAAAGCAAAGAGGTGTCAGAAAATTTTGTACTGCACTTTTTTAAAAGGTTAATGATGAATAAAAATTGCAAAAATAAAAAATTGTATCAGTTTTTAAAAGCATCCTACCTTTACCTTTATGGGTAAAGTACTGGATACAAAACAGGTGCTTATCTCTCCGAGGACACAGACACACACATGTTTATGAGTACAGATACTATATATAAATATGCAGAGAAATGACTTATCAGCTGCTGTGACACATATTCAACAGGAACAAAACACGCACAAATGCACATACACACACACTCGACACACTTGGCTCATACGTTCAACCCTTCTACACAGCTTGGGGCGACTCACATGTGACTGGGCATTAACATTGGCACCATAGTTGACGAGCTCAGCCACCACCTTCTCCTGCCCTGCCAGCGCTGCGATATGGAGAGCAGTGTTCCCTTTCTTGAGGTCACATAAAAAAACCACAGAGAAGGCGAGAAAAGAAAATTAAAGTGAGTGAGAGGGCAATTATTACAGCCTAATGGCCTAGATCGCTACACTGAGAACTCAACAGTGAAATCTAGTCTGTGTAGTGTGTATAAGATTAAAAAAGCTGTACCGACTAAAAGCAGGAAAACTTTGTTTTAGTTTCTTTAGTTGTTCATCAATAAATACCTTTGGTATAAATGAGAAACATTTAAACTGTCTATTTAAACTGTGTTTAAATACAAAAGTATTACATAAAAAAATGTTGTGTATCTGTATTGTAAGTGTAGTTTTCCATTGGTCCCAGTATTTACAACTCAACTCAACTAAACAAACCCTGAGTTAAAATAGTAAAATAAGACAAGTTTTGGAAAAGTGTGGCAGTTACCACAATTCACTCACTTCAAGTTGGAAACATAGAAACAGAGAGAACAGAAAAAAAAGTACCTTTGTAGTTGCTTCCAGCTCAATGCCAGAATGGAGTAATTCCAAGACCATTTTGACGTGGCCTTCTTTGGAGGCGAGGTGTAACCCGTTAAGACCATTCTTAAGGAGGAAACGGAGAGATTTAGTTACACAAACAGCTCCCACCAAAGCTATAATAGTAAAGCTTAGACATGAAAGCATTTTATGACCTTTGAGAAAAGGAAACAATATGCTATCCATGCTGTGGTTTGAGTATAATGTGTAGGACTTGCTGCTGAACATAATCAGACTCCAAAGCTTATGCAGTACTCCATCGGTTCTAACTCCACCCACTTCATTGACAGGTAATTAGGAAGCCACAAGAGGAGAGGATAGAAGTGGTATTCTTCACTCCTATACCCCTGTGAGTGCAGCAACATATGCTCACTTTCTCTAGCTGTGCAGAACATCACTTGTCTAGTTAGAGTGTCTCTAAAAATAACGGATAAACCCACTGTGACAGCACGAGGGCTCAGTTCTGAAAAAATGAACTTTCTGATGAGACAGCTGTTTTATCTCAGCATGGTTTGTCTCTCTTTGTGATTATCTGTCTTTTTTGTGGCAGCTTAGTTGCACAGTGAATTACTGATGTTTGTAGAAGATGCAGTCTGCCTGTAGTAAACAATCTGGCCACCAGGAGTCTCAGTGATCCACAAACTCTCAGACTTCTGATCATACTGCAGTGTCACTCAATTCAAATGGGTAACAGAGCATCTCTGCGAGCATGCGCTCTGATGGGAAACACACTTTGTATCAAAGGCAATTACACACACTGTAACGTGTGAATGTCTGCTGTGTGTAGATGTGATTGAAGCAGCTACAGGGTGAGATTTATTTTCTTTTTTCATCATAACACGAATAATGGAACAGCTATGGAAATTAGTTAGGTAGGTACAGGTAAACCAAGAACAGTCTGTATTTCTGTAGCAAGGCCAGATCATTGCTGCAGAATCACATATAATATATATCATATATAAATATACCATGTCTGCCCTTGCTTTCATCATGAGCAAAAATACATCAATGTAACACTAAACAAATAAACATAAGATAAAAAACAATATTTAATAACTTAAAAATGATCAGAATTGTGGGTATTAAATCCAACTTTTTTTTAGATTCTATTAATAATAGTAACTACTGAGCAACCAAGGCTTCCAGGTCAAACCCTGCTCTCTGGTGTGGCTGTAGGGCTGCATAGAGATTTCTGCCCATGAAATCACCAAGTGCTCCTCTACCACACCTGCAAGCTAACCAGCCAATAATGATGAAATGCAAATATTCTAAATACTGAAGACTGACAATTTCACACTGGCCTGAGTATGCATTTTTAATGACATATTTTTTGTTTTCAAAGAATATAAAGGAAAAAAAAGTGACACCATTGTATATGGCGTCACTTTTGTATATTTGTATATTCCTTGTATATGACCAGGAAACCATCATAATCAAAGACATCTAACTTTTCTTTTACTTTTTTTACTTAACTTTTCCAATCCAGGCCTGTGAAATAAATCTGAGTTTATTAAATGCCCCACACTACCAAACCAAAGCAAACCAAAGGGCTTTCTGAGCTTCCTGCTTGAAAATGACACTCCCAAAATGAATGGAGTTGTCTCTGCAATTACAAACTCTGTGTAATGTAATGTGTAATATGTACTGATGCAATTCTCATTTTGAAGTGTGACCCACAGTGATTAGTGAAATCCACTGCACATCCACTGTTATTTTATTTGTGTGTTACTCTTCCTTCCCTCACCCCAAATGGTCATGACAGATGGCCACCAGTCCCTAAGGCTGGTTCTGTTTGAGGTATCTTCCTGGTAAAAGTGAGTTTTTCCTTCCCACTGTCGCCAAAGCGCTTGACCATAAGGGGTCTTATAATTGTTGGGTTTTTTCTGTCTGTTTTGTATTATTGTCTTTACCTTATATAAAGTCTTTACCTTATATAAAGTCTTTACCTTATATAAAGCACCTTGAGGCAGCTGTTGTTGTGATTTGGTGATATAAAATAAAATTGAATTGCATTACCTCCATCAGTAGTGCATCACATACTGAGAGTAAACATTAACTGTCAAAAATGACTTACATTTCAGCAGCGGTGTTTTATCCATGTATAAAAGCATTCGTCATTCACTAAAAATCTTCCCATGCCACAGCCAGCCTAAACAAACTTTTATGTAATATGTTTTTTCCTGGATTTTTGGTTGGTATTCTCGCTCTCTCTCCAGTAAAACAAAACTATCATAAAATTAGACACTGTTCATTTCTTTGTAATTGATCAAACTTACAAATTTAGCAGGGGTTCAAATAATCATTTCCCCAACTGTAAATTAACCCCATCTTCCAAGTAGAGTGGTCAAATATCCAGCCAGTCTTATGCCAGAAGCTTGTTGATGGCTATCTAAAGTGGGAAATGTAACCAAATATTAGTTGGGGTGTATATTTATATATATCTGACTGTGTGTGGATTATAACCACCCGCCCCAAAATTCAACCTTGTGCACCCACTTCGTATTTTCTAGTCATTAAAGATGTGTTATGTAGTCATTCCACCCCGGAAAACAGTTCAACAAAATCATTAAAAATCCCAAATTATCATGGCATTCATGACCATGATGAGCATATGTGAACTTTTGACCACAACTGTACTTAAATATTAATATACCCTACTTTACAAAATGAAAGAAACCCAGGGTGTCTAGGAGTCATGAATAGTTAATTTTCGTTTTGGTTTATATTTACCTCCTTTGCTGATTTTGCAAAATAGCACCCCACTGATAACAGTGAAATAATGGTATGGCGTTAAGTATTCCTCTAATGACAAAAATCTATGAAGTTTGTTTAATGGCAAAATAGAATGAAAATAAACTGCAATTATCCATTTAGCTTGTTTTGTAATCCTGATATTCTTAGCAAGGGAAAACCTTTTTTTCCTACAGTTTAGTGCTAAAGAGCTACAGTACTATATATGTTGTAGGGAAATTACATCAATCTTTCCATTTTTTATTTATAATTAAATTCTTTAAGCTAGTCATCCTGTATATGAAACATTAATCATCAAGGCAAAGTACTTACAGTACAGATTTGAGTACATATACTTACTGGCTACTTGATTAAGTATGCCTGTTCAACTGCTCATTAATGTAAATATAAAATCAGCAAATCACAAGGCAGTAGCTCAGTGCATTTAGACATGGTCAAGATGACCTGCTGAAGTTCAGAGGCTCAGAATCGGGAAGAAAATTAACTGAAGTGACTTTGAATGTGTCATGGTGGTTGGTGCCAGACTGGCTGATTTAAGTATTACAGAAACTGCTGATTCACTGCGTTTCAACCCATCCTGCGTTCCTCAGGTGACCTTAGTAGCTCAAAATGTCTTGCAGAGGTTTCAGACCTTGGCCCCTGCGATGCTAATGTTCAATGCTTTTTTTCACAGCTTGCATCATGTGACGACTTACGAGGTTAATAGTGGGTCAATGACCTTCAACACCATTTTCAAGGGGGGTTGCATACCTCAGACTCTTTATCCGTAGTTTAGAACTGAAGAAACCTCTTGATGACACGTGAAAGCACTCAACATTAGCTGGATGACTGAAAAGCTACCAAGACACATGATCTATTGGGACTTTCCCACACAACCAACTTTAGGGTTAGGGCAGAAAATGATCAGAATAAGAGAAAATCCAGTTGTTGATGTCAAAGGTAAGGGGAGAATGGACAGTATGCTTTGACTTTATAAGATGGCAACAGTAACTCAAATAGCCCCTCATTACAGCCAGTATATGCTGAGAACCATGTATGAAGTCAAACTTTGAAGCAGATGGGGTATAGTGGCAAAAGACCACACTCAGTGCCACTCTTGTTAGCTACCGTGCACAGGCACGTGCAAGAATATGGGAAAAACGTTGGCTGGTCTGATGAGTTTCATTTTCTGCTGAGATATTCAGATGGCAGGGTCAGAATTTGGAGTAAACAGCGTAAAAAAAGCGATCTGTCCCGTTTTTCAGTGGTGTGATGTGTTAAGGATATTTTCTTGTCACGCTTTGGGCTTCATAAGAAATAACTGAGGATTGATTATATACCACAGCCTGCCTGAGTATTATTGCTGATCATGTCTGTCCCCTTATGACCGTCTTGTGATGGCTGCATCCAGCATGATAACTCACAGTCTCAGAAAGCTCAAAACTGTGTGATGCTCATCATGTCAATATGGACTAAAGGCTCTGAGGAATCTTTCCAGCAATGTTTTGAATCTCTAACATGAATATTTAAGGTTCTGCAGGCAAAAGGGAGTCCAACCTACTACCAGCATAGTATACCTGCGACAGTAGTTAGTGAGTATATTTTACTAGTAGAATTTGCCTTGGTGTAAAAACTTCACCATTCACTCATGTGTATATATTCTACTTTTATCCATAATCTTGCTGAGAATACTTTAATGATGGTTTAAAGATTTTTTAAATTAGTTATCAGGGTTTTATCATATCAAGGATGGATCTTCCTAAAGGTTTGGCTCAATGGTGTAATTACAGGTCCCATTTATCCCAAAAATAGTATAATGGTGTGATATTTTGTAAAAGGTATCTTGCAAGAAGTGATTAAAGGAAACAGTACAAGCAGACAAAACTTGTTCCCAACATGCTGCCCTAGAGCAAGTTATAAATAAACAGGAGGGCAAGAGATGTGCAAGGGCACATTAAGTGTCACAAATTTCTTTACTGCACTGGTAGAAATTTCTCCTGAGAAACATTAAGAGACCAAACAATAAAGCTCGGTCTGCTCCTATTATGTGCTCTTGTTCAGTGGTACTCTTTCACTTTTAACAGTGCACTGAAATGTTTATTACTCCAATACTAACTCCATGGTGGATTTGGAAAAAGAAAGGTATGATTATTAGATCAGTCAAAGCTAATTCACTTGTACCGATAATAGATTGCTATAGGTTGTCCATTTTTCCAGAATGCATGTTGACTGATCTAGGGAAGATCTCACTGAGAAAAAGGCTCAGCACTGAGAAAAAGGCTCAGCACTGAGACCTTGTTATACACTCTCCTCTTTTATTTGCTTTCTCCTGCCTGCTTTTCTCTTTCCTGCTCCCCTGTCTCCTCTGTTCCTCATTTTCTCCTAGGTACACCACGTGGAGTAACGGATGAGCTAGCAGTCTGTTTTTTGTGGCTTTACTTGTTATTTTAGCCTTCTTAGTTCATTAGTTTAGTAAGGGAAGTTCTGGGTCCTACAGCCCATTGCATGACTGGCCCAGCACCCTTTCTTGTTTTTGTTTCTTTAGACCCAGTTTTCAGATGTTTATTTTATTTTGTTTTTCTTCCAATCAAATCACTTGTGTTGGTATATTCATACATTTATATATTTATATACGGTGCGGTCACCAAGATAAGTTGAGCCATTATCTATTTCTGGCTAATTTTTAATTTCTTTGCATTTCAAAAAGCAAAACCAAATAGAGTAATGCTGCAATGTAACCATTTTTGTACCACTTATTTAAATGTTGTAACAGATTTTGATATGAGCCCTGTTTTGCCTTTTTTGTTTATAGAAACCAGTGGCTGCCATTTTTTCTTAAACACACACACACAGGCACAAACGTAAGCAGATTTTTGATGGCTGTTCCAGTGAATTGACTGAAACTGTCTTACTTGATTAGCTGTGTTGATGTCGATTCCATTCTTGATGTGATCGAGCGCCTTGTCCAGGTTCCCTGAACGAGCTGCGCGCAGAAAGCTGGTGGCTGCATCTGCCTGCAGAAGGTGGAGGAGAGGAGGAAGCGGGCACGCAGGTGAATACAAATCACTGTGTTTCTGTGCATTTAAAAACTTTCACATAACAGCGATGACTGATGACTAAATTGCTTATTTGTGAAATTGTAAAAAGAGCAACAATATGCAAAGATTCTTCAATATTAACTGATCCTCCAACATTATCCTTGCTATCAAGCTGTAGTTACTCTAAGAGCCTCAGTCAGGTTACACATCTTAATCCATTATAATAACATAACTACCCTTCAAGGCAAGACACAGGGCAATATGCAGGAATATGATACTACTGCACATTCACTGCTTCTCTGCCCTCTGTAAGAGGCTTAAAATGTCAGACTCCTTCCATTCGTGTTTCGCCCACACTCTGCATTGGGCTGGCATTCATAGCACGCTTCATCACAAGCTCCGCTGTCTGCCTGTCTGATCTCAGGCAGGAAAGCTCCTGTGGTTTGTATCTCATTGTGTGTCAGTGTTTGTACGCCCACCCCGATTTCATTTATCAGCAAACAATGTAATACAACTGACCTGCACAATGAAATGATTCAACGCTGTGAAGGAGAAATGTTATGCAGTGTACTGCACTCTTGACCCTCTCTCCACCCTTGTCACCACCAGTTTGAGCTGTTATTCCCAAGTACTTTAATTAGGCTGAACTGCTTAAAGATATGCTTGCCCTTTTCAAGTTACTGAGTCATCTTTTCTTCTCTCCTCACAGCTCATGTGAAAAATAACACTTTTACAGGATTCCATGCAGTCCTGTGAAAAGGTACACATTGACTGCTTCCATAAGAATTAAGAGGGAATGTGGCAGCCAGGTGCTGCTAATTGAATGCGCTTCATTGACTGATCATCAGCAAATAAGTGGGTAAAAAAGCAGATGTTTTGTCAGTTTGCAGGTCTGGAGCATTCAGGTGTGTTTTAACATAATACCAAGGAGGAAAGACATCAACTCTTAGAGGAGCTCGATTTGTTCATGTTACTCTAAGTGCCCTGAAGTCAGCACATGCATCTATCTTGGCACCAATCTATTGTTTAACTGGTACGGGATTTGTGTAAATGCATTTGACGATACTATAAATATTATACATGTTACCTGTTACTCTTATCTTCCTGACTGTGTATTTGAAGGATAATATTGTATTATCTATTCAGCATCTGGTCTCTTTACTTTGAACATAAGAGCTAGACAGCAGTTGTGCACAGCAGAGCTGAGAGACAGGACTTCAAAGACTCACTATCAGTGACAGGAGCCTTCCTATTTAACAATCCAGTGTGCTGGTACTGTGTACATTGTAGGTGTCTGTCACATTATGGAGAGTCTCTTATGAATATTCTATCTTTAGGAACTGGAAAGAAAGTGAGCAGAGAAGATATTTTAAATAGTACATGATAATTACTCTGTCTTTACAGAATGTGGTAACCTGTTTTTCCAGGTGAGTTTTTTTCTAATACAAACAATTACAGTTGCTCTTTTCAACTTCACACTGCAGCTTGTGAAACTTGTGAGGCATTTCATGCGTGCTGAATTTTGGTTCTGTAGCTTTGCTGTTTTTCCTTTACATGTCTTCAGGGAGAAGTTCAGCTTTTCAAGCAGCAGTGTAGGGCCCAGCTATTTAAATCTTGATTATTTTACTGTGCCAGCATAGATAATATCTGATCAATGCAAATATCCTGTGAGAACAGGGGATGCTGGTTAACCTGCATCAAGTTTGAAAAGGCGTGGCTGTTATTAATAATAATAATAATAATGGATTGCATTTATATCGCGCTTTCCTAGGCATCCAAAGCGCTTTACAATTCCACTATTCATTCACTCTCACATCCACACACTGATGCAGGCAAACCACAGTTGTAGCCACAGCTGCCCTGGGGCAGACTGACAGAAGCGAGGCTGCCATATCGCGCCATCGGCCCAACACCAGTAGGGTGAAGTGTCTTGCCCAAAGACACAATGACCAGGACAGAGAGAGCTGGGGGATCGAACCGGCAACCTTCCGGTTACAGATGAGCTTTCCAACCACCTGAACCACGGTCGCCAATTATACGCCAAAACTGGTGTATAATCCCCCAGTTTTATAACCTCATAGTACCTGCTTATCAAGCTGATCAAGGTTGCTCGTCACATTATTTTACACAATTGCTGTCACGATCAAATGGGTTCTAGCAAAGACTCATCACAAAAGAAGTGTGGTCCTGAACCCTGCTGGTGTTCAGCTAAATGTATTTATCATGCGTATATTACGCTATGATTTATTCTACAACCAAAAGCCATTTCAGATCTCGGTCCTTTGCCTCATTTATCTTGGTGTCATAATATTACTGATAACAGTCTACACCTGCATCCCCTTTCTTCTTCCCAATGACTCTGCACCATTGTTAAATGAAGCCATTTTCTATGTGCATTTTTCATGTGGCAAATTATTTTGTTAATGAGTGTTGGTCAGGTGAATAGACCCAGCCACAGCATGAGGCATGAGCTGACCACATTTAGCTGAAAATGAAAAATCCAAAAACCCATTCTGCACCACTTCGCTTCTGCTTCCCTCCTCACATTCTTCAGTGTTTTCCCCATATTCATGTGTTCCCCATTGTGTTTTATGCTGTTTGTGTTGCTGTTGCTCTGCAACACATTTACTAGTGCCAGTTATTCTTCTTTGTTATTGTTTTATTAGCTTTTTTTTAATTTCACACTTTATCCTGCACATCCTTCTAGATAAACAGTAGATGTAGAAGTAGACACAGTAGAAGTGACAGTTAAAAAGGTACTGAATTCAATGATGTATTTAAGAAGAGACATGGTGATAGCTGCACTACTGCTTAAAAGTTTGCAGTTACTGACAAATGTCACTGTTTCAGGTTCACTCAATATATTCAAGGTCCAATTCCATATATTCAAGTTTTAATCAAAATGTAGTGATATGTAGTGTGATATGTAGTAAGCTAATTATCACCCAGTAAATGAATATAATTTGATGCTATGCAGGCGATTTCAGACTTATATTTCAGATGTAATTTGTATTGTCAAGGTCAAGAAATATTAACTTCAGAAAACTGTCTCTTACAGTAAGTTTGCTTGTTCACCTCTTAGTTTTCAGCTTTATCAAGCTAAACATCTGAAGATAAGTTTGTCAGGAGGAAACAATCATTTGTGGGAGGCTTCTTCTTCTTCAATTTTTGGAGGTCATAAAAGACACAATTTTTTTTACTAATTTATATATAAAAACAAATAGTTATGCGACTAATTATTTTCTAAAATATACATTTTCATTGTTTTTAAAGCTCGCAGTTTAAAGTAAGAATGTAGCCACTGTGACATCACCAAGTGATATTATGAAGCCTCAAGGTCCACCACTCGAAAAGGAGGATTGCAAATGCTTTATTTACTTTTATACTTATAAATGCTGCTGCCTGCAAGCTGCAAAAATGAATAAAACATCGAGTATTTTTTTTATCTGTCATCAGAAATATGATAATCACAAATATTCTAGAAAAATGATAAAATAGGAGCATGTATCTCCCACTCCACTGTCTATGCATGTCGCAAGTCTACGACAAGTATTTGACAGCAGTTTTAAATTCATTACAAACGGCACAATAACACACAGTCATTGTACAATATACTACAAAACAATAAATCCAATTAGTTTGTCTTAAAATCTGAATTTTGAATGAACTTAAATACTACAATATTCCTCGGGCGCTGATATGCTGTGCGTATATGTGAAAATTCAATATCTTCACCTGAAATACTAACTGGTGACTTAAGGGAGGCAGAAAGATGATCTTTGCAAAACCTCAAGGAATCCCACTACAACTTATGGACAAACACATACAAAGTATGAAAGAAACAAGTGTACATACTTTGAATACAACTTTCTTATTTACTCCCCAGGGTTTGGCTAACCTCTCAGAAGCCAAAACAGGACCTAATACAGAGGTCAATGCTGAGCAAAGTTCTTGGTAGGATGCAACGTTTGAAAAGCTCTTATGTCAAGGTTCTTAAACACACAAAATCTTGCCATCACATCAAACCTACTTTCATCAACCTACGCTCCCAAAAAAGTACTGTAGCCAAATTTTGCATAACAAAAGCTATGAAAGCAAAGACTTCAGAAAGAAAATACAGAGGCAGAGAAAACTGAAGCAAAAGTCCCATGACTTCACACACATGGAAATTAAAGCAAAAAGGCACCCATGCAAGATAAATATATGCATACACACTAATGCAAATATGCAGGAATAGTCTATTAGAAGGGACAGGAACTGCATGAGTAACACCTCATTTCCTACAAGATGAGAAATGTTAAGACACGAATGGCAATGAGTCATGGAGCATGGGGAGGGAAAAATATAATCTGCTAAATAAGCTGTTGCTGGTCTTAGTTTTACATGTATGTGACTAATTTAATGTTCTGAGACAGCGGTGTAAATGCCAAATAAAGTTTTGCAGTATCAAGTGCACAATTCTAGCATTTAGCTTTTCCCCAGGTGATTTTGAGAAGGAAGATATAGATCATGAAACTCTAAATATCACAAAGTCTGTACTGGAAGCGTTTTGTTGACTTTCTGTGCTGTGGGTATTTGACGTTAGTCACTGGCAGAACACTGGATGTCTGTACTTATCGTAGTGACAGCGCCTGTCACATCTTATTTTGAAATGAGTTCTTGTGTCACTTAAAGTTGAGACTTGTTCCAACAGTTAAACATGCATCTCGTCTCCTCCACACTGGAACTTTTGCATGTGCATGGACGCAGTTAGATACATATTTTTTTTGGAAAATTAAGCATTTGGGATTGAAGTGCAGACTTTCAGCAGTGATTTGACCGTAATTTGACGAAATTACTGCATTAAGTCCTCAGGAATTACAGCTATTTTTAGATGTGCAAAATTAATTGGACAAACTAACATTTTTTGTATTTGTATGAAAATCCTTTGCAGTCAGTGCCTGCCTGAAGTCTAGAACTCCAAATGGACATTCAAA